TCCAGCTCTACACCTTGTTATCTCACCAAGTAACAAATATGTGGCTGTATTTTTCCTTCTGTGCTCTTGGATGCACAGCAAAGAAAATAAACATTTTGATAGTCTGTATGCACGGGGAACATTGAACAATTGAGTGTGAGCTCTCAACCTTGTTCCTACTCTGACCTTTCTGTCCATGGCCTCTGTGGTCTTGACTTAGTACTTTACAGCCTTCCAGAGGCAACACTGCCTTCGCTTTGTTTCCTTTTCCTTGAATGGTCTTGGTTTCTTTTTCTTGTTTTTTAAAAATCTTTATTTTGCTTCTGGATGGCAGACATTCATAATTTTACCATTCACAATTCCTGTGCACACACCTAGGATTGGATTTTAAGAGGCACCATAAAAGTTTAAGAGGCAGCTCACTCATGATCCTGATACTGCTCCATAGCAACTGCTTTAAGATGAGACTTCCTTCCCTTTAGTGGGAGGCATTTCTGTTGCAATGTAGTCCCAGCAATGAAACTAGGAGCCATCTTTGGATCTACAAGTAGTTGCTAATACTGAGGAGCCCTGACTGACAGGTAATTCTGGAGCTAAGGATTATAGTGAGGGGGTGAGTGGGGATAAAGGGAGTGAGTCAGGTGAAGATTGGGCAGACATTGTGTTCAAAAGACCTGGGATAAGGTTAAGGGGAAGGATTGGTACCATGCGGAGGGAATTTTCCAAGATGCCCAGAGGCCCCAAAAGGAGGTTGCCCCATGCCTGTCACTAGCCCATGCAGCTAAATCATAGTCTTTAGCCTTTGAGTGGTCAATAGACCCAAGGAAGGACTGCACACCCAGCGCTACCCTCACCCCCAATCCCTTCAGACAGGTTCAGGACATTTGGGTTGGCGTTGGAGATTATGTGCTCCCATCTTCAAATCTACCTGTCGGGAAGCATAAAATCCAATCCTCTTTTCTTTATTTTTCATTACAACTTCCTTTGGCCTTTCAACATGAACCTTTGTCATCAAATCTCCTTTTGCTTTCACCTGAGCAAGCATTTTCGTTTCAGTGTTTTTCCTATCTTTCCCTTTCACTTTTGACTAAGTGTCAGTTTCATTGTGTTTTATGAAGAGTTCCCTTTGCCAGGCTAAGCAGATTTTGAAATTGCAGACTTGCTTTCCAAGCCAGCATTTTTGATTGCAGACGTTTCATCACCCTGCTAGGGAACATCGTCAGGGCGCTTCCAGTGAAGCATTGGTGTTCTGTCTCACTTGTTATTTATGTGCCTCGGTTTGCTGGGGTGGTTGGCATCACTTCCGGTTCTGTTTTTCAATGATTTGTATATCGGGTCCAGTTCAATGTGTTTGTTGATGGAGTTCCGGTTTGAATGCCAGGCGTCCAGGAATTCCCTGGCATATTTCCGTTTGGCTTGGGCTATTATGGATGTGTTGTCCCAGTCGAATTCGTGTCCTTCTTTGTCCATGTGTATTGAGACCAGTGAGAATTCGTCATGTTTCTTGGTGGCTAGGTGGTGTTCATGTATCCTTATTGTCAGTTTTCTTCCAGTTTGGCCTATGTAATGTTTCTCACAGTCCTTGCAAGGTATTTTGTATGTTATGTTAGTTTTATTAGTTGTGGGTATGGGATCCTTTACGTTCATCAGTAGCTGTCGCAGGGTGGTTGTCGGTTTGTGGGCTACCCTGATACCTAGGGGTCTGAGTACTCTTGTGGTCATCTCTGATATGTCCCTAATGTATGGCACAGTGACTAGTGTGTCTGGCCATGTTGTGTCTTTTTGTTGTGGTCTGTCACGGAGATAATGGCAGATTGTGAAAAACAAAACTGGAAGTAATACCAAACACCTCAGCAAACCAAGGCAAATAAATAGTAACGCTTCACCAGAGGCGCACGGACGATGTTACCCAGCAGGGTGACGAAATATCTGCAATCAAACACACTGATTCTGCGGGCAAGTCTACAACCTCATCCACAACCAGGGCTACAAATCTTCTCAAAAACTTTAAGCAGATTTTCTTGTGTAATCATCCCAAACTTGTTTCATTAAGTGGATAGCGTGTCCCAACTGCACACATCTCATCTGATGCTAGCCCGAATCTCTCACTCATTGTAACTGGAAATAATCACCACTGGTGACCTTGGTGCCAATGCTATATTTAAAAGGCCGTTGTGCACCTGCTCAAGCTCTGGTAGTCTGGAGCAGCCCTGCATGGTTGCAGACATTCATCCCAGACATGGCAGGCAAGTGGAAATTGGCACCCCCTGCTTTGCAGACAGGGACCTGAAGATTCTGGTGGATGGGGTGGTAGAGTAGTCATGTCCTCTCCCACTAGGACTGGTACAAGAGGCCAGGACCCAAGCCAGCCTGGTCCAAGGTTGCTATATGAGTCAGTGCAGTCTTCAAAGTCCAGTCACCTATGCAGACAGAAGGTTGAATGATTTTTGCTCTACCAGGGTAACTACCACCATCTTTTCTCTACTTTCTCACACTCACCAGATCTTTGCTACCGCACCCATATCTCAGCACAACTCACACTCTATCACTCTCACGCATGTAACATCTTCCCTAACTTGCTGTTATTCACCCCGAACCCTCACTTCACTAACCCTGCAAGGCCTGTGCACTACTGGTTCACTCACTCAGGACACCTCACTACCTTTACCCCTATGTACACCAGCACTAACAGCTGTGACACCAACTTTCATCTTGCATAAATCTCTTGCTCTCATTACAGGAGAAAATGGCCCATATAGGATCAAAAGAACCAGGTAGGTTGTGGTGTGCTGGTTATTCCTCTCTTCACCAAGTATAAGGAGAGGTTCTTGGCCCTGGGTGGTGAAGACCACTCTTGTGGAGATGTGGGAAACTCCCATGTCCTGGCAATCCAGTAAGAAGCATTGGTCATTGTACTGCTAGTCTCCAATTACCCCAAAGTGAATTTGTTGGTAGCATGATAACATTTTACCCCTTAGTCATGATGCTATCTCTCTTTTGTATTCTGCAGGCATCAATGGGATATCCATAATGACTACGGTCAAGAAAACCACTCCTCAACGCATGTGCTGCTCCTCCTTTGAGGAAAAGAGCAAGGACATCTCAGAGCAAGGCTGTTGCCTACATCTCAGAGCAAGGCTGTTGCCTACAACCTCCACCCCCCCCCCCCCCCCCCCCCCCCCAACCAGCTGAGATATCAACACCTTGGAGGGTACATTAGCTTGATTACAGTTGGCACTGGTGAGCACATCACTGCCGGACGTCTGCAGCTGGCTATCACTGGCACGTGAAGGACTGAATGAGCCCTGACACCCACTCAGCCCCAAGCAGGAGAGGACCTCACAGTGTTGGCAATTAGAAATTTCATACATGGGCAGAAGCAGACACAGGAGCAGCAAACAGGTTTGTTAGGGCACAGGGCAGGACTGCAGCAATTTGGTTGGGACCCTGCTGCCTCAGACATGCAAGTGTCAGACTGCCTCGATGGACAGGTTGGTGGCTTCCATGGAGAGCCAGATTGAGCACTATCAGGGTTACTGTTGACTTGCTGCTAATTTCCTTGGTTGCTTTCGTACATGTTGGCTTGGTTTGAGAGGCTGGTCTCTTAGTCTTGCCCTTGGGAAATGGTACCTCACACCAGTACTCAGACTCCAGAGCAGTTGTAGCACCCTCAGGAATCCTTGCCCAGTTTAGCTGTTTTAATCCATGCCATAGTTCCTTTAATTAGAAATAAAAAGACAAAATGCTGGAGAAACTGGCAGCATCTGTGGAGAGGGCAAACAGAGTTAATGTTTCGAGTTTAAAATGACTCATACTGGACTTGGAACTTTATCTCAGTTTCTTTTCCCACAGATGTTGCAAGACCTGCTGAGTTTCTCCAACACTTTGTATTTTTAGATCAGATCTCTAGCATCCACGGTACTTTTTTTCTATTCCCTTTAACTAGAACACTGCCTTTTGACAGAATCTACGCATGTCCCTCGCTGATTGTTTAGGAAACAGAGGCTAGATTCTACAGGCTACAGTGGTCAGTTGAATATTTTATACATCCTACATTCTCATCAGCTTGGTATATCTCACCTTACCTACAAAGTTACCTTGCATCCACTGATTGAACTTTACCTAAACATACATCTCCTAATTTCCCTTATACCCAGGCCTAGATCAAAACTATTTCATAACTGTCAAGGATTTTGAAGCATCTTGTTATGTTAGTGGTTCGATGTACATGTGTATGTTTTTATATGTTTAATTGTCCTTTGATAGATTCAAAATATAATCATACAGACCTTCGGTTTAGGCATGGAAAACAGAAGTTTTTGTGTTGGTTTGCCTTTAGTACCTCCACCATCTGCTGTTTTTCCAACTACAAGCATAAAATCATCACAACAGCCTCCAAAGGTCATGATACTCTTGTATGCATATGTTGTTATCAAGCGCTGTGGAATTAGAAAACAGAATACATTACTTAGGCACAACAAATATAAAAATTATATTAATACATTTTAATTCCTGATGTTGCCTTTGCCTTGATGACTACTGATGGTAACCTTCTTCACACAGGTAAATCTCTATGGGGCAATTTCAACTTTTGGTGGGAAGTACAGGGCAGCATGCCTGCCATAATGTGATTTGGAGATCACAAATTTTCCCTGCCTGACCTCATCTGAATGGCACTGGTCAGCTACTTAGTCATTTCTAGAAGAGGGAGAAGTTCTAAGCGTTGAGGGAAGGCTGCAGGGAGAGTTCAGGAGTAGGGTGATGCAAATGCAGTGTAACTGGAAAGGGGAAGGGAGCCCGGAGCAGCAAAGCTCTGGACTTTCTATAGATGGGTCTTGCTCCTGAATTATTTTATTTGATTTCATTCAAATACCGTGTGTGTTGTTACATTTCAAAAGTCCACAAAAGTTGATGAGTTGTAAATTTCAGTGGCAAAGTAACTGACCTCAAATCAAATGTCAAACAATCATACATATTTCAATGGGCCAAAGGGGCTTTTTCTATGCTGCAGACCCTATGATTCTATGAACCTGTGACTCTATATCTTGTTTTCTCTTATTTTATAAGCTTGGTTTTGTTTAGTTGAAAGAACAGCTGACAGTAAAGTAACACTTCCTTGCATTTAGCTATAATAAACTTGTGCGGACTTTTCTAATATTTTGTTTGCTCCAATTAATCAGTTTGCATTGTTTATTTTTCCACAGTTTCATCTTTCAGTGATAAACCTTTAAGTGGTCCCTGAACCTCCTACTCTGTGTGTGTCAGAGGTCATTTCTAAAAACACATTTCCTTTTCAACGGCAGAAAGCCTTACTTAGGTGGAACAGGTTAATATTGTGTGTTTCAATTAAACAAAAGGAGCAAATATGATGATATAACATGGTGTAGAGCTGGATGAACACGGCAGGCCAACAGCATCAGAGGAGCAGGAAAGCTGACATTTCGGGTCTGGACCCTTCTTCAGAAATGGGGGAGAGGAAGGGGATTCTGAAATAAAGAGAGAGAGAGAGAGAGACGGGGAGGTGGATGGAAGATGGATAAAGGAGCAGATAGGTGGAGAGGAGACGGACAGGTCAAAGAGGTGGGGATGGAGCCAGTAAAGGTGAGTGTAGGTGGGGAGTTAGGGTGGGGGTTGGTCAGTCCAGGGAAGACGGACAGGTCAAGGAGGCGGGATGAGGCTGGTAGGTAGGAGG